AAAAAAAAAAAAAAAAAAAAAAAAAAAAAAACCCAAACAAAACAAAAAACAGATCTAGAGTGAACAGGTCTAAGAGAGAGCCACAAGCAACTACTCTGTCTGCAGGGCTGGGGATGGAACCTAGGACATCTCGGGCCAGTAGCTGATGCTCCACCCCTCAGCTACCCGCTGGCAGGTGCTTATGGAATCCACACCCCCATATACCTCTCGCTCTCATCAGCAGCCTTTTCTGCTTCCTCTAGCTTCTGCAGAGCAGTGGCAAGGCGCTCCTGAGCACGGTCCAGCTCCTCTTCAACCAGCTGGATCCTACGGTTCAAGGAGGCCACCTCGGCTTCAGCCTTAAGTCAGTGGGGAAAGGAAGGAGATTGGGTGAAAAGAACCAACACAACAGAAGCGGGAATTCACTACTTCAGAGAAGCCGGAGTCAATTAATAAAGATCCCGTCTTGGCTCAAATGCCTAACAGATCTAACACACAGGAGTATAAACCAATTTCTTCCTTTCCATCTAAGAACTCCCATTTGTACTACATGAAATGTTTGTGTGAACCAATCTCATGTGTCCAAAGCTGGCCTCTGCTGGGATTAGTCATGTACTGCGAGGTCCAGTTATGCTATGCTAGGACTCATGTATGTTAGCAGGTACTTTAACAACCCTGAAGAGTGTTTTAAAGTTCAGTTCCTTGTACAGACAGTATTATTCTCTCTCTTCTGGACTCAATTCAAATTCCAGAACCTATAAAAGTTAACAAAGCCAGGTATAATGATACACACCTTCAATCCCAGCATGCAGGAGGCAGAGATAGGTGAGTCTCTGTGAGTCTGAGGCCAGCCTGATCTACGTGGTGAGATCCTGTCTCAAAAAAGCCGCCAAAGAAGACAGTCTTCTGCCTCATGCTCAACAAATTGATACCTGACTCTAGATTTCAACTCTAGATTCTCTTGCTCTCACACACACAATTTTTTTTGTTTGTTTTTGTTTTCCCCGAGACAGGGTTTTTCTGTGTAGCTTTGGAGTCTGACCTGGAACTTGCTTTGTAGACCAGACTGACCTCTGGTCTACAGGCGGATCTCTGTGAGTTCGAGACCAGCCTGGTCTACAAGAGCTAGTTCCAGGACAGGCTCCAAAACCACAGAGAAACCCTGTCTCGAAAAACAAAAAACAAAAACAAAACAAAAAAAAATAATTAATTAAGTTTGTAGCTTCTGATCACCTCACCCTAACACATCAGGAGGATGACCAACTAATGCCTTCTGGAACAGCTGCCCTGATAGGAAAGCAAAAGAATGCAAGATTGGGGTATCTGAAACGTGAAGACCAATCAGTAGAGAGAAGCAGTTTCCATAAGTTGTCTTCTGACCTCCACACACAGGCTGTTGCCCGCACACTCAGATTCACCCATTTAAAAAAAAAAAAAACAAACTGGGATATCTTTCCCCCACCCCAGCCCTTCAACGTTCCCTTATTCCCTTAGGAAAAATAGTACACTTTGATAACATTATAAAAACAACAAACAAGAAACCGAGCTTCCACCTTCTGCTTCTCCTCAGGCAGTCTGAACTGCCGCCATTCTCTTACTCTAACAACCTCCTAAACTTCACTGGACTTCCGTACAATTCACAACAGTAATTTCCCGGCTTCCACACAGTAACGTAGAAGCTCAAGTCCAAGTAAGCCATGAACCGGCTATAAATAAGAAACAAACAAAAAGATGTAGGTTATATAGAAAGCATCTTCATAGGTGTGACAGTGCATGGCCGTAATCCGAACCCTCTGGAGACCAAGAGGCAGACTAAGTTCAAGGATAACTTCTGGACTACCCAGAGGCTGTGTTTCAATAAGCAAAGGTCTTTGCTGCACACGATGATGTTCAGATGTTCAGATCCTGGTGAATTCTAGCTCTCTTCTCCAGCCCAGACTTTGCCTGAATCCTATTACCCTGGTTTCCTCTTAACAGGCAAGGGGGTGGCAGCTGAGGAATCTAGGCCATTAGCCCTATGGGGAGGGATATAACCAGACAAGACTCCTGCTAACAATCAGGAGAGGAACAAAAATTTCCACATATAAACACAGGAGATTCACAAGACGGGAAAGTAGTCAGGAGGCCAGGCTATAGGAACAGGAGTCTACATAAACTGAAATTCCTAACTGTACCACTCTCAGAGCCCCACAAAGACAAGCATTCTCTAGTTGTCTCTTCCAGGAAAACAGATGTCCTGGAGTCAGGACAGCACAGACTTCTCCACACAAACCCAACAACAAGGCCAAGCAGTCAAGGACAAGCCAGGCTATCGGGATAGAGCTCGGAAACACCACAATACTATATACAGTACTTACCCCCTTCAGATGCCTAAAACGGAAACGTGAAAAAAATGCAGCTGGCCGGGCTGCAGCGATGGCTCAGCCGTGAAGAGCTCTTGTTTCTGTTGCAGAGAACCCAGGTTTGATTCCTAGCACCCACATGATGGTTCACAACCATTCATAATTACAGTGCCCGAGGCTCCAAAGCTCTCTTCTGACTTCCACGGGCACCAGGCACACTCACGGTACACATATACACACACAGGTAAAACATTCATATACATAAAATAAATCTAAAAAAAAAAAAAACTAAAGAAAAGAAAAACGCAGCTGGATTTGTAGGAAGCACATGAAATGTAAGTCCCCACCCAGCTCCTAGTTACTCAAACTGGAAAAAGATAACAGGCTATGGGGGCAGGGTATAGTTTCCATGGCAACAGGCTGGCTCTGGCACTTTCTCTTACAAAACAGCATTTACAATTGAATTCCACAAGGGTGAAAAAGGAGGAAGAGAAAATACATCTTGGTGCTCTTATATTAGCAAGCCTGTTTTAAAACCAGAACCAAAGACTAGGGAGTCCCTGCAAAAGCTTCAGGCAGACAGACCAGAGGGCAGCGGGTCCAGGACAGGATGCTCCTCTTGGCCTGCAGCAGATCAGTTCTCTTTACAACAAAACAAAAGGCTGCAAAATCTAGCCCTGGTACTCCATTTAAAGGAAGAAGGAAGATAACCTGACTTTCCCTTTAAGCAAGAGCTTACACATCACTCAGGTCAACACCAAGTCCTCATGCAGACTAGTCTGATCCAGAGAAATACTACACTTAATACTTTTTTCAATTAATCCTAAGTTTACCTGAAAGCCCAGCAGATACTCCCTACCTCCCTGAAACTTGGGAGGATACAGTGCGCGGTCTTCCACTCAACAATAATAGGATTTTCCACCATTCAGGAAGCAAAATCCTGGTGGTGGGAAGTGCAGTCATTTGGTCATGTTAAAAGACGGCTAGTGCACGCCTTTAATCCCAGCCGTTGGGAGTTTGAGGACAGCCTGGACTACAGAGTGAGTTCCAAGACAGTCAAGAGCCAGGACTACACAGAGAAACCAAAAAGAAATGAAAAAGAAAAAAGCTTTGGCCATGACACAGTTTAGTTTCCGTGCTACCCTGGGCTGTCCACGCGGCTCAGTGGGTAAAGATGAATCCACACACATTATGGAATGCATGCTGGCACACATACATTATATGCATACTTAGCAATAACAAGATAACTTAAAAAATGTAAAGAGGCCCAATGCATACTACATTCCTTAAACTGAGAAGCTGATGGGAAGGACCGAGGAGATGAGTCTCAATCTGGCCCTCTGCTGCCCACCCTGGGGTTTCTCTTCTTAGATAAGTCGTAGGTGTAAATTCCAAGAAGAGAGAGACTGGAAGAGTCAGGACTGCTGAGCTCCGGAAAGAGCAATCTGTCCGCCCCAGAGTCAACAAAGGTGGGGTCTAAGCAGAGGCACTTAGAGCAAAGGGCTGTTTGCCTCTTCTGTAGGAGTGTACTCTGAAACAGGGGGGCACAGACAGACCAGTCCAAACCTCTAAGCTTGTTACGTGTCCACCCAACACACGAACATACTGAACTAGTGCCAAACGTGCTAACCCCCTCAGAGACCACGAATCTGGGCTTCTGGCCAGAACCACAGTTCAAAGCCCACTCTCCTTCCCTCAACAGGACTTCCTATGTTTTGGACCAGAACAAAATGAGAAATACCATGGGAAATTTGAAGAGAGATAGTTTCAAAGGGTAAGATGAGCCATACACTTAAAAATGTTTACAATAGGCTATAGAGATGGCTGAGCAGGCAGAGAGCACTGGCTGCTTTTGCAGACTTTGGCCCCCACCTAGTACCTATATGGTTAAGTTGGGGGACAGTGTTCATGACTGTCTGTAATTCCAGCTCCAGGGGCCAGACACACATACATGCACATAAATAAAAATAGTAATAAAAAAGGTTACAATGGATATCCTGGCATAGCAGTGAACATCAGAGAATATCCCAAAGGCTAAAGCAAAAGGAGCACTTGAGTCCAGCACTTCAAGGTCAGCCTGAACAGGCAAAATTTTATGCTATAGATAGGCATTTTTATCACTTACAATAAACACACCTGTTTTAGACACGACAAAGCGGAGGGTGTGGCTCAGTGGTAGAAATCCTGCCTAGCACAAGGCCCTAGGTCTGATCCCAGCACCACCTAAAAAGCCAAGCAATAAAAAACCCTTACTAAATAAAAAAACTGAAAGTGAGATTTAGCAGGAGCTATACTATAAAAGCCTGTCTCCAGGCCAAGAATGGGAACGACTGACCTCAGAACTTGCCTCTCAGCTCTGGCCTCATCAGGCGTAACAGGGGCAGGCTAGGTGCCCCTACAAAGAAACCAGAAAAAGACCTGACGGTCCACCAATATAACAGCATAGGCTCCCACCAGGCAGTGCCGACAGGAGGAGCCTGCAAAAGCTGGCATTCCACAGTGACCCAAGAGAACAGCCGACCCAAAGGGCCCTCTTCCCACTATGACTCCACGGTCGGGGCTCAAAGTTCACAGGTGCATTAAGCCAAAAGTTCACAAAGAAAATACTAGTCTCATCAATATTTAACTACAGCCCACTTCCCCATTCTGAGGACTTCCTCAGGAGACTTCCGTGAAATGTGCACATTTGGTAAGCTCTGCACCCCTGCAAATGCTCACGCTGATGCTTATCGTCCCAGAGTCAACCCGCAGAAGGAAGGAGAGTCCAATTTTCCCTACAAGGAAAACGGCCAGATTCTGGGACAGGCAGACGGACAGACACACCCTACCTAGAGCCGCTCCCAGGGTATCAGCCTAAGACTTCGTAGCACGCGCCAATTCCTCCCACCATACTCTCCATTTCTCCTTTTGAAGACTTTCTCATCTCTAGAACAATCTCACTAGATTTGATCAGAAGTTGCAGGCATGCCAGGAGTGGTCAAGCAAGCCTGTAATTCCAGCACTTGGGAGGGTCAGGC